TCAGCGGTGTTGTGTGGAAGGAGGACTTTTCAGAAATGCTAGGTCAAACACCAGTGTGGATGTGGATCGTTTTAGTTCTAAAATGTCATTTTAAAACGAAGACATATCAGTGTAAACGGGGCCTTGTGTCTTTTAGCGAGTGGGTTGCTTCTGCGGTGGGGATGGGGCTGAGGATAGCGATGCCAGCTCAGCATCGTAATGTCTATTGGTCAACGGCGATGGACGATGGATCTATGGACCCAACCCTAGTTCAGTAGTAATTTTAGAAACGCCTATTTCATGCTTAATATTTTAAACACCACTGATTGGTCATCATGTTCACATGCTCAATGCTCAACAGAAATGACTGTGATTAGCTCTGAAGGTCTTGCTTCCATTGAAAGATGCAAAATAAATTTAAGCACAGAACTGGAATTTCACATAAAAGATCTGCTTATAAAGCAGCATTTCCATCCAACGAGTCAAAGAGACCAAAATAGTCACTCCCTGATTTACTGGCACTAAATATGAGAAGTGAAAATGGAATTCTAGCTGCGTTAATCTTTTCCTTATTTAATAAATTATTGGTGTCTCGGAAGACAACGCTCACGCGCAATGAATGTGGTGATATGTTTGAAGGTGTGAGACAGGGAGCATAGACGCTCTTGACAGCTCTGGAGGTCATTAATAATATAATAACACTAATACTGAAACGCCTAAGCGTTTTAGAATGACCAAAACAACATTTCAGATGTTTTACAATGTGCACAGCCTGCTGGTTTATCCATTCGCACACACTTTTATCATTACATAATCTCTTATAAATCGCATGACTTTTTTTTAATGCGCATACTGGAATTTGTTCTGTAAAAGTGTTTCCATTGTAGTCTTACCTAACAAAAAGTGTTCCACTTCGTTATGCGCTTATGTTTTTTTAATACGCCTTTTCAAAATTTATGTGCATCTTGGCATTTCCATAAACCGCTTTTTTATGCGCATATCTAAAATGTGCATTAAAATTAGTGGACAGAATCAAAAATACAGCTGTTCAAACACAAACACAAATAAACGGATACTGGAGCATTTTAAAGTCACGTAGATCAGCTGATCTGTCTGTGAACTGACATATAAACAATCCGCTAATGAATCGACTGATCCACATGGTTTTGAACTGCTAATACTTTTATAATTTCATTTTATAATTGGTAATATTTTTTCAGAATTTTTTTAAACACCATTAGGGGGAAGCACAGACAAATGAATAACTGCATTATGAGAAAGTTGTAGTATTTTTTTAAGTTTATGTAGGACCTGTAATCATTAGTTTTTAAAAAGTGTTTTCTATTTTATTAATATTTACATTTTTTTCACATTTGATCAAACATCAAGAGATGAAGTTCTAAATAAAGCAATAAATATGATCGCATATGAATGCATACATTTCTAAATATATACTTCAAAACGTAAAAAAAAAAAAAGAAGAAGAAATGGTTCTTATATTTATACAAAAGTACTGTACGGTTCTCAAATCTGATTGGCTGATAGTCGTGCGATATTCAGCAATATCAGCACTCTTACAGCTTCTTCACTCTTGTGTATTACGCTGCCCACATGAGTCATGACAAGCAGAGGAACAAGCTCACTACAGTTTGACCAATACTGCAAGAAAGTAGTTCCTTATACAAACATGTTTAAGACTCTCTGCGATTCTTTTTAATATACACGATTATGCAGTTGAACGCAATATTACACCTCCCACCAGTGCCAATATACTGTACAGCCATATCTCACTGCTGCTCCTGAGATATTGCTCATGTATCTTCATATATATTATTAATATTAGTAATAATACTTGAATTGACAGAATATAGACTGTGTTTACCTTGTGGGTGTGGATGCAGTGTGAGGGGTTGTATGGCAAGAGCCAGCTCACTTTCACTCTGAGGCGCATGAGCTTTGAATGGTATGTTGAGGTCTGACACGACCTGCGCTGTCTGATATTCAGGACTCAGGTTGTTGGGAGAGCAGTTGTCCATAAGAGGCTTTGGGGGATCCAGTGGAAGAGACATTAATGATGACGGCAGACCCGCATAAGCACCTGAAGATGAAGATGTGAAACAAACAGTATTACACCAACCAGAAAACCCCAAGGAGAAGATATAAATGAGATCGATTAGATGCCAACATTTTTTACTCCTCTTCCAAGCTGTCCTAACCACTAAGTTATCATTGTTCTCAAATACACTTTTAACCCTGGGTAAAAGAATAGTAAAGAGCTAAAGAAAACCTCCAGAGTTCGCATAAACATTGCAGTGCCAGTGTGAAACAATCAGGTGGTGCAATTTTTTTTTCTTTAGATTAGCAACAGACAACCATTTTGGTTGGTTTTAGTTTTATAGTCCAGGTCAGGAAAGAGTTGTTAGTACAGCTGGCTTACTACAGGGATGGTTCAACAAATATGTACATTTTGTCATCATTTGCTCATCCATCACTTGTTCTAAACCTATTTGAGTTTCTTTTTTCTACTTAAATTTTGAGTCACACACAATATTTTTAGTTGTCTTTTCTGTTGTTGTGGTATATACATATTAGCAGTATATAAATATATATATATATATTATCAATATAAACAAATAAATAAACAAATTATATTTTTATATATATATATATATATATATATATTAGCGGTGTCGCTGTCGTCGACGATAATGTGCTGGATTAACGTGGACTTTTATTATAAAAAATAAAAAATATCACCGTTAATCTATTCTCTAATCTCAAAGTTAGGTTGGGAGCTGGGTCTATTTTACACAAGCTATGACTTTCACCTTGATATTTTAGCGCGGATGTATACCTGACTGGTGAGTTGTCTGACAAAAAGAGTGCCCTTCTGAATAACATCAGCAGGATGCCTGACTTTAACTGCAGTTTGGCAGTTTCACTTTAACTCATGAACATTTCATTCATGCCCCTGTGACAAACTGGGTTATTAGACGCAAATAAGGAGTAAGGACTGGTGAGAGTGTTATGGAATTTAATACAAACACGGCAAATGAAAATAAAAAAAAAAACTTCCTCATTTTGCGATGAGTGCGTGTGTGGTCCGGTGCGGTCCTTTACTGATGGCCGCGTATGTGGATCTTGTTAGAAAATATGGGGAAAAGTCCTACATGAAGGTAACAGCTTGATCGCGGTGTTTACTTCAAAAACGCCACTAATTTTATTTTAAAAAAATATATATATATTTTTTTTAATATTCACTGTTTGGTGCTTATGTAGGCCTACAGTTTAAAATTCATGCTTAACTGAATAAACAGTTAGTAAACACAAGTACATCTTATTGAACAGCATTCATCTTCATTATCAGTTATCATAGTAGAACAGTTTTTCAAGCAGTTTGTGATGCATTTTGGAAACAGGAGATGAGCCCCTGGTCTAATGCGCCACCAGGCATGAGAAACCCATCCTGAAAGACTTATTATTTGGGTAGCACACATATTCTGAATGTCTTCAGCAGAATTGAAATGAACCATTTTAATCTAGATCTATATGTATTATTATTACAATTTTTAACAAACTAAAATCAGAACTTGATATTGTGTCACAATCTATCTACTTTCATTCTTTTTTGTCAAAAACAATAAATCACTTTAAGTCTGCATGAGCAGCACAGCTTTTCTGCACCGATTCTGGAACGCACTGGCGGACTACAACAGTGTGCAATGTGAACGCTCTAAGCTGTCTAAGCTGTTAACAGTTTACTGCAAACAAATCAGGTGTGAGACTGTACAATATTAACATACATCACAGTACAATGGAGAAAATAGGTGATAAACACGTCATCATTTGTCTCAGAAAACATATTTCAAAAGGTGCTGTTGACTGGAAATTTTCCGAATGTTCCGAATGTTGATAACAACCGAAGAAGTCCATATATGCACAGCAAACAAAATGTGTTAGTTTACAAATAAAGTTATGCGTAATAAAGTGAAATGACGCAGGGAAAAAGTATTGAACACATAAAGGAATGGAGGTGTAGGAGGCAGTGAAAGCCAAGACAGCAGCTGAAATTTCTCAGCAGTTATTCAGCAAACCTCTGCCCTTCATCATTGTAAATGAATATTCGCTACTACAGTCCAACATCTAGGATGAAGATGAAATCAGAGTGGACATTTCAGTAAGACAACGATCCAAAACACAGCCAAGGAAACAATCAAATGCTTTCAAAGAAAGAAAATCAAGCTGTAGAATGGCCTTGAATCCAATACAAAATAAAGATCGCATTAGATAGACGAGACTCACAAAACCATCAATATTTATACATTCTGTTGAAATCAGTGGAAAAAAAGACGACTGAGCAATTGATGTGACTTGATTCTCCATATGAGAGGCGTCTTTAAGCTGCCATCACCAAAAACTCCTTTATATAAAGTATTAAATACATTTCAGTAGTTCAATACTTTCTCCTTGTGTCATTTCATTGTTATTACACATTAGAGCTGCACGATTCTGGCTAAAATGAAAATCGCGATTTTTTTGCTTAAAATAAAGATCACGATTTTCTCATGGTTCTGTAGATGTAAAATAAAGGTATGGTAAAAACAAACATAAGGCACAACATCTATAATAATATTATCTGTAGTCTACTGGCTTTTATAAATAATTCTATTCTACTTATAATAATTCTGATGTTGAATTATTATGTTTGAGATATATGCTTGCAATCTGTCATATTAGACAATTTTATTCACTGGTAAAATCAGACATTTGCCATTATCAGATTATATTCAACAATATATAGGCTAGAGTACTTATACTAACATTGCCAACATTTATTTTCATGCACAACTGTGGGTTCGCTATAAAAGAAAAAGCATATCAAATGCTTGCTGTAATCATAACTCTAAAATGCGATATGATCATTTAAATGAAGTGCACACTTTCGGTTTCATTTTGACTGCTAAGTGCTTGTTCATACTTTGCGCTGCTCCCAAACCATCACTCTGTGCCACAAACTGAATATTATTTACAACTGTATTACCTGTTACTCGCAACATATGCAGGTTCTGTTCACTAAAGTAGACGCGCGCGTGTCTATCATTAAGTAGAGCGCGGACGCGCCCTCTCTGTGATAACAGCTCACGGTCAGCAGCACACGTCACGTGTGATTTCCCGATCGCGAAAACATCATTATATGTAGACAAAAATTACATTTTTAGGTGAATTATACCTTATGAATAGAGTATGTGACTCATTCAACATCATTTGGAGGTGTCAATGTCACTGAGCAACATGTGTGAAACAATGAAAAGACTCGTGCAGCCGCCTTTTCTTCTCTCCTGAACTTGAAAATATGATTGACAGAATCGTAGAAATGATGGATTAAGATCGTCTAGGGGGTCGAATCGAGATCGCGATCTTTTAACGATTAATTGTGCAGCTCTATTACACATAACTAATTTTTCTGATTTTTTCAGATCTCTCCTTATGAGAAGAACTGAGTCTTGCCTTGAGAGGGAGTTGATATGGTAAGGAAGCCCGGCTGGGATATTTCTGCTTCCTGGGAAGAGCAGGAGCCTGATCCAGATGTGGAACTGTTGTCCTGTCAGGTAAGAAGAACCAGAAAATAAGACACTCAACAGAGCTCTGGTCAATTACGATATCATCAACAACAATGCAGTAACTCACTGGCCATGGGACATTTAGCTCTTTCACACACTTTTCCTCAATTTTCTTTCCGTTACTTTGAGTCGATGAGCAGCAGCTTGACGGCCTCCTGTACTGAAGGATGAAAGCCAAGAAAATTTACTATACATTTAATAATTTTGACCGCACAGACATAAGATATAATCAAACTAATCCATCTACATCAAATAAAAGCACGGTCAATCTTAATCTCGATTCCTGGAGGGCCACAGCTCTGCACAGTTTTGCTCCAACCCTAATCAAACCCAGCTTATGCAACAAAGTGTTCAAGACTCTTTTAGGCCGTACTCACATTAGGTACAGTTGCCTCAAACCGGGCCTAAGCACGCTTGTCCCCCTCCCGTCTCCCCCGACGGCCCGCACTCACACCACAAATGGGCCTCGGCACGCTTACGTCATCGCTGCTGCGCTGTTCAGTGAGAAGCGCTCTCTCACTCAGCAGCACAGTGGAGATTTCTCTAGTTATATCGTTTCAGTCGTTTGTTATGCAGTGACATGCAGTCAAATATTTCACCAAACAGTCCTTAGGGATGCGATGACACGCAGTCAGATATTTCGCCGAACAGATCTGCCACTTTTGGCGCTCATAAACAATCATAAAGCCCTCGTGCTGCAGGAATGAGGAGGTCTGCTGAAGCCGTGCAGCTGTCGTTCTGTGAGGAGTTCTCGTCTTTAATAAACTACGGCAGTTTGCGTTTACCGAACAGTAAGAATGATTAATAAATCCATATGAAACAGCCCCTTAAAAGTCACGTCTCGCTTTCAGTTTCGGGCTTTGGTGCGTTTTGCACTCACACAAGCATACCGTGCCGAAGACCAAGTGAACCGTGCTCAGGCACACCTCTTCCAACCGGGCCAGGGTCGGCCAAGTGAATCGTGCTTGAGCCCGATTCAGCGCACTCACAGTTCTCAAACAATCCGGGAAACGGGCCTGGGCACGGTACGGATGGCATAGTGTGAGTAGGCCCTTAATCACCTCGATTATTTGGATCAGCGGTGTTTGATTAGGGTTGGGGCATAACTGCAGAGCTGCGGCCCTCCAGGAATCGAGAACCTTCAAAAACATACCTTTATTCTTTTGACCTCCAACACTGCTTCCAAGACATCAATCTCATCAAATCTTCTCAACATGGGCTCCAGTTCAATAAGACAATCTGTAAGGTGCAGACAAAGATGCTGATAGTTTTATTTATTTAGTATTACGCTTTTATTTTAGCCAAAATAAAACAAGTAAGACTTTCTCTAGAAGAAAAAAAACATGATGGGAAATACTGGAAAAAATTCCTTGCTCTGTTAACATCATTTGGGAAATTTTTGAAAGCTAATAATTTTGACTTCAACTGTAGGTTTGGTATTAAACCTGATATAGCGAATGCTACAGGAACCAACACCCATATCGACAAATCCTTGATTAACTTTAAACTTTGGACAAATCCTGTTGGGATTGTGTCCAGGAAACCAGGCCAATGCTAACTTCTGGGTTGGGCTATAAAAATCATCACCACTGCAGCGTACTATTGCAAACCCCATCAGAGCACATGATAACTACAGACCAAACCATAATTTCAGGTCCATTCTAGTGCTTTTTGAGAGGAAAACCACTTTCAAATCAATATATACTGAACTCAAATGAACTAAAAGCTGCCTGCCAGTTACCAGGAAGTAAAACATCTCATGTCAGGAAAAAGAAAGATCAATATTTAGACATTTTCCCACATTTGATTTAATTTTATGGTTTTATTAAACCCATATTTGGAGAAAAGCTTGTTTGGATAAATGGCACTCCCGATAAATGACCCCGCTGTTCCCTCTCCCTGTCATTTCCTCATTCCTCTGATCTGGGATTGCAAAAGAGAAACCTTCAAACTGAACAATAATGACTCTGCAGATCTTACTAGATTATGATGCTGACAAATGTGTGGCTGCACATTTGAAATATTTAACAAACCCCCACTGTAACACAATGAAGTAAACTGCTTCACATTGACTTGAAAATTAGGGAAAGGTCAAAGACACTTACGGAGAAAAGAAGGCCGTTCATCTGGGTTGGCGGTCCAGCCGCTGGTCATAAGGTTAATGAGAGTCTCTCGACTGGGAATGTCTACCGGCAGACTGTCCAGGCCTGTGTCAGGTCGAGCGCCTCGGAGAACGCTGAACATGATCTGCATGGGATTGGTGGCCTCTATTCAGACAACATGAGGAGGACAGTGTCAGAAGATGGATGAATGATGACAGATGCAGTTTGTGAAATGAAGAGGAAGTGACTAAGAGGAAATGTGTCATGATTTTTTAAAAGATGACACAGTAAAACGTGCTTGATATTGTGTCCAGCTATACAATGAATCAGACCTCACTGCTTGTCGGTGCTATTTTAGTGTCAAGTGTTCACACTGTGCGGAATGTGTCTGTAAAGTTTCTAGTGAAATCAAATCAAGTCACTTTTATTGTCACATCATTCATTTTCTTTCCAGCTTAGTCCCTTTATTAATCTTGGGTCGCCACAGCAGAATGAACCGCCAACTTATCCAGCACATATTTTACACAGCGGATGCCCTTCCAGCCACACTGGGAAACACACACTCTCATTTACACACATACACTATGGACAATTTAGCTTACCCAATTCACCTGTACCACATGTCTTTGGACTTGTGGAGGAAACTATGATGTTCTGATAGAGGTATTGCTCTTTTTAAATCGTTGCTATGTTAGCCTGTTTTGTTGCCGTGGAGAAAATTGACAGCTTCGTGATGATGCATCAAAGCTTCTTGCCAATATGGGTGTTATAAATCAACCACAATGTCTCTAAGAGAGTCTCTATGACAGTTAAAAATTGGACATGGACATTATGTAAAAATGGTTGACATATCAATAAAAAATATGGAGTTTAAGTCAAAAATGACTTGCCATATTTTAAGAAAAATAATGTTTCAAGAGTTCCCACTTAGATATGCTTGACATTTATAGCAGGTTTTGCATGCTGTCCTGGTAGAGAACCCTGAGCTCGGAGATATTTGAGCCCAGGGCTCCCGCCCGGTCTAGAAGCATATCAGGGGATCCGAGATCAGGTAGGTCTCGATCGCTCCCCCTTTAGAAGGGATAAAGGAGGAGATGGAGTGGAAGGGGGGATTCTTCCAAAAAGAAGATAACAATAGATAGCAATAAGGAAAAAGTGATCTATTTATATTAAGCTAGGATCAGTCTGATTGGATTATTACTGATTACAGATGAGTGACCAGCAGCGCACAATCATATCACATGCTCTTCTCGAAATTAGTTTATGAAACTTCACTTAAAGTCTGATAAACCTGAAAAAAAATAGAGCAACAAAATCTAATACTGAACATAGTTTTTGGCCAAACTTGGGGCTTGTATAATTTTTTATATGCCTGGATTATTAAAACATATTTAATTTTTTTTTATTCAAAATCAATAAGTCTGTTTGGCATGGGGAGATATACAGTTGAAACCAGAAGTTTAAATACAGTCTTCAAAAAGGAACATAATAATTTTTTTAAACGTCTGATAGTAAATCATACTAAACAATTACTATTTTAGGTCTGTTAGGATTACCTAAATTATTTTTTTTGCTAATTGCTAAATTATTTATTTATTTTTATTTTTTAGAACTTTTAATAAATTTCTAGACAGTCAAAAATTTACACACATTTCCTTGGTATTTTTTTTAGCTTTGCTTTTAAACTACTTTTAAACTTTGGTCAAATTTTTGGGGTATCCTTCCACAAGCTTCTCACAATAGTTTAAAGGAATTTTGGCACATTCCTCCTGACATAATTGGTGTAACTGAGTCAGATTTGTTGGCTGTCTTGCTCGCACAAGCTTTTTCGACTCTGCCCACAAAGCAGGATTGAGAGCAGGGCTTTGTGATGGCCACTCCAAAACATTCACTCTGTTGTCCTTAAAGCACATTTTAACTAATTTGGCAGTTTGCTTAGGGTCATGGTCTGTTATAAGACCCGTTTGTGGCCATTTTTAATTTCCTGTCTAATGCCTTGAGATGCTGCTTAAGTATTTCTACATAATGTTCTTTCTTCATGGTGCTATCTATGCTGTGAAGTGCACTAGTCCCTCCTGCAGCAAAACAGTCACACAACATGATGCTGCCGCCCCCACACTTCACAGTTGGGATGGTTTTCAAAGGTAACACTGGTCATTAGCCCCTTTCACACAAACACACCTTTCTGGAAAATTACCGGCAAATTTCCGGAAAGGCGTGTATGTGTGAACAGGCCCTTTTTGAAAATACCGGTAAATTTGTTCTGGCTATTTTCCGGAAAGAGAAATTGTAACATTACCGGTAATTTGCCGGAATGCTGCACTGTGTGAACGCAAAAGGAAGATTGCCGGAAAGAGCGTGTGCATGTCTAGAACGTGCTAACGTGAGAGTTCTGCTTTAGCCAATTAGAACAGTCAGACGCATTCATGTCCGCGCGGTTTATGAGAATAAAAGCCTTTGAATATTTTTCCAGACACATTTAGCTGCTAGAAATTAGTCAGATAACGTTTATATGTTCATCTTAATGCCAACCGTGTAATTAATTATCGATAAGATGCTTATAATAAGCCGTTGTTTGTTTACCTTCACGCTTTGCGTGTGCCCATGAAACAGCCCATGAGCGCCAACATACACACATATCATGAACATCTCGACATGTGAAAGTGTTTCTCTGTATGTTTTCATCGAAGTTGTTCACAATACTGATTCATCCACAGAGTTTGTGATGTAGTCAAATGTTTACAAATACAAGTGTAGCCGTTTAGAGCTCATTTCTGCTTAATGATGTCAGAATAACCGGTATTTTGGAATGGATGTTTGAATGCTCTTTTCCGAAAAAAATTCTGTAACGCCCTGGCCTGTGTGAACAGCGTTTTTTTGCATTTACCGGTAAAGTCGTTCAGGAAATTTTATATATATTTACCGGTATCAATGTGTGAAAGGGGCTATTATAGTCAAACAGTTCAATCTTAGTTATATCAAACCACAGGACATGTCTCCAAAAAGTATTCTTTTGCCCAGTGTAATTGTAATCTGGCTTTTTTGTTGATTCTGGTTTGTTGATTTTCCCATGTTGTCGCACAAGGAAGCAGTGTGTTTGAGGTTTTCCTTAAATACTATTCTACAGTTGTGCCTTCAATTACCTCAAAAGTTGTCAATTAGCCAATCAGAAACTTCCAAAACCTTAACATGTATGTAAACTTGACTTTCAAGAAAAGTTAACAATTTCTCAAAAAATATCTCTCTCATTATTCTGCTATTAAGCATAACAGAAACAAATTTGACAATCCCAACTTACCTAAAAGAATAAAAGTTGAGTCACATTAACATCTGACTTTTTAAAAAATGGTTATGCATGCCTTTTTATACAGTGTATGTAAACTTCTGGTTTCAACTGTAGCAACAATCTTGAATGCAGAAGGCACATTTTGACCAAATTTGGGCCTTGTCGTATAAACGGCTTAGGAGGAGAAACGTTTGGCTTTGAGGACAGAGTAGTATAACAATATGTTGGTTTTCTCAAGCCAACATTATTAGAAACAAACCTCATTTTGGCATTTTACTAAACAAATGTTGGTATTTTACTAATATTTTGTTATTTATTTTGTAACCGATGATGATGATGGTGATAAATAGTTTATTTAATGCCATGTCAGCAACCAAGGCTATTTTCATGGCAACATTATTATATGGGGTCCCACTTTATATTAAGTGGCCTTAACTAATATGTACTTACACAGGAATTAATAGTTTGTTACAATGTACTTGTGTAAATACATGTATTTACTGTGTACTTATGCTTGATTAAATACATGTATGTAATTACATCTGTAATTAACTTCTGTAATTACATTTGTAAATACACTGTTGACCATCCCTTACACCTTAACCCACCCTTAAACCTACCCACACCACCAAACCTGTCCATAACCCAACCTCTATCCCAACTCAAAAGCACCACAAGTGTTCTCAAATACATTATAAACACAGTAAGTACATTGTATTTATTTTTTTGTTGCAAGTACATAGTAGTTAAGGACACTTAATATAAAGTGGGACCATATATGGCAAGAACATTAATAAATGTACAAGTAAAAATAACAAACAAATGAAAATAAAATAAATAAGATTTGATACAAATTCAAAAGAATTTACCAGTGATACTTTGCTAAAAACATCCTTAGAGTTCATTTAATAAAAAAACACCTTCTGCAGTCATTAAAAGCAGGACAGTCCAGTAGAATGTGTGTTTCTTTTATTCTGTAACCAAACACATATTCATTGTGCTTTCACAGATCCGATGAGGGTTTCAAATAAGCTATAGGCTATCAGTAATGACAGTAACTAGTCTGACAGGTTTTACACCGTCTAACTGACGTACGTTTTTAGAGGCAGTTTCTTGGAAAACTTCATGAAGTGTTGTCATTTTATAATACAGACCATTGAAACCCATTTGTAGATACGCACTGGAGTCATTTTCTTAATTAAAGAAAGCTGTTGTTTGCTTCAACTCTAATTGGTAATAGTATTTATGGTAGAAACACAATAAACCCAATTGCTACATTTAGACCTCAACATTAGAGTACTTAGGCACACACACCCTTAAAATGTGCAGCTTTATATGATGTCTGACATAATCTCAGCCGAAATATTAAGAGAGGGCAGGACAATGTAGCCCCTCCCCTTTTAAAAAAATACAGCCAATAGTGTTTCGTTTGATCACTGCTCTGCCATTGAAAGTGGTTGAGCTCAAGCGCATCAAATGTAAAGCATTTTAAAGAGGGCTGGGCATGTCAGATACTAGAGAGCATTTGATTAATCAAGATTTGATGCTGAAGTATGGAAGAGACAATCTACATGTGTTACATGTTTATATCAGCTTTATATCTCCTAAACAAGAATTTTGACACACACTAGCTTATAGACATCCTAAAAACTAACAATGCTGATACTGACATTTAAAAAAATGCTATTTTAATTTCTTGGGACCTTTAAAGCACAGATTCAACTTAAAATAAAGTAGTTTCAACCCTAACCCTAATCATTTAATTGAATAATAAACATTTTAAAATCATGTTTTAAGCTCATTGAGTATTATCTTGAGACTGTTAATCATATGAGCTTTATTAAAAACCATTAAAACAGACGCTGGACTGACCTAGCTCACATTCATCGAAAAAATGTCATCAAAAGGATCATTTGCTCACAATTTATGATGTTAACACAGATTTGAGAAGTCCAGAGAGAATTTAATATAAGACTGACTATGTGAATCTCACTGGTATACTCTTCCGCAAGCCATACCTTCAAATGGTATTCGTCTCGACAGCACTTCCCACATGATGATGGCGTAACTGAAAGAGGAAACACAGAACAAATGTGTGAATGGTTTCACTGCTGCCCTGCAGTCTCTACATCCACATCTGGCATTCCCCCTGTGTAGATAAAAACCCTCTCCTATCGGTTCAGTAATTTCAACATGCCCCGCTGACTAAGATCACCAAACCTCAGACCTGGCAATGATGACATTTAGCTAAAAATTCACTTCCCTTTTTTTGGCCAGGCAGGCCAGTCGATTAACAAAACAAAGGCCTCGCTCAGTAGTAGTTCTAGTGAGATACGAGTAAAATTCCCACTATAGGGACTAGGACTGCATGTTATTGGAAAAAAATAAAAACTGGCTTTGCATTAATTAGTTATATATTGACATTGTTATACACTCACTGGCCACATTATTAGGTACATCATGGCACAGATTCAACAGGGTACTGGAAATATTCCTCAGAGATTTCGGTCCATATTGACATGACAGTCAGCATCACACAGCTGCTGTAGACTTCATCGGCTTGAATCTCCCATTCCACATCCCAAAGGTGCTCTATTCGATTGACATATTCAGGTAGACTGTGGCATTGACACAATGCTCAATTGGTACTAATGGGCCAAAAAATATCCCCTACACCAGTTGTTCTTAAATATAAATGTAAGGAATTATTATTATTATTATTAAAATCCCAGTGGATCAGCAGTTTCTGAAATACTCAGACCAGTCCGTCTAGCACCAACAACCATGCCACTTTTAAAGTCACTTAAATCTTTATTTTCCCCATTCCCATGCTCAGTTTGAGCTGCAGCAGATCGTCTTGACCATCGCTGCGTCTGAAACCGCCTACTACTCAGTAGGTGCTGCATTTGAATTTAAACGTACAACTCGGCCTTTAGAAAAGTACGTTCTATACAGAATGAATGTGAGCAGCATGAATGGAATTCGGACGTACTACATCCGCCATTTTGTCATGGTCACGTGACCTACCTGCGTCAGTTACGTCGCCTCACTTCCATTCATGAATTCTCTCACGGGGCATTATGGGATAGCACAGCGTGCATGGCATGCGCACTCCAGAATCTCGCCGGAAGTAATAAGTCATCCGGGTACTTCTCACATACTAATTTTCGAATTCTATGAATTTGGACGCTACTTGGCTCGCATACTGATTTTAGCGTACTATATAGTATGGAAGTATGCGGTTTCGGACGCAGCCCCTGTCTACATGCCTAACTGCATTCAGCTGCTGCCATGTGATTGGCCGATCAGAAATTTGCGTTAACGAGCAGTTGGACAGGCGTACCTAATAAAATGGCCGATAAGTGTATACACACACACACATTAGATATTTTGTATTAATGTAACTTTACAAGACTATGTGTATATATATATATATATATATATATATATATATATATATATATATATATATATATATATATATATATATATATATATATAGTGTATATATATATATAAAAAGCATAATTTTACCATGTGATCATTTTGTAGGGAGTGTGTTTAAAATAATAATGAACTATTTACAAGCATAAATGAATACAATAGAACAAAAATAGATATGAAATGGTGCTTTATGATTTTCTGGATAATCTAACAATATTACATTGTTAAACAACAATGTAATGTAATGAAATAATGTAATCAAATGTAAAATACCCTTCATTGTAATGAAAAAATACAATTATTCTTTGTTAAAGCAACACATTTCATCATTTCTTGTACCCAAATGGTTTAAATTAGCTTGAAATCTTACATGTGCCTTAAAAATGCATTTGTAGTAGGGTTAAACTTTGCTATTTATATCACTGTTAAACTATTTTTTACTATCCTGGTTAATTATAAATCACAACTAATTAAAGTCACAACATTGATTTGACTATTGCACATTTCCACATTGTAATTTCGATGCTGAAACGAGCTATTGTGCAGCCCTAATTCACTGCCCCTTATCTTATTGCCATGGTACACTTCAAATAAAAATAAAAGAAGAAAAATTGCTTATTATTTAATTACCCTGAAGTGGTTTTAAACCTTAACAAACTTCTTTACTCTGTTAAACACTAAAGGAAGATATTTTGGACTGAGGCGAAAACCTGTAAACGTTGACTTCCATAGTGGGAAAACAAACACTATGGAAATCAATGGTTATGCTGAAAACTTACAGTATTTTTCTAAATATCTTCTTTTGGGTTTAATAGAACAGAATAGAATAGAAAAGTTAATGATGACAGAATTTTCATTTTTGTTGAAATATACCTTTAAGGGGATGTCCCAAAAAATTGGGAACTTAGAGGGCAGTAGTTAAAAGCCTATAGTAGAAATCTGGAAGGAAGTTTACTCATCCGGTTTAAACTGGAAGCTTTATAGAAATGTGCAAATGCTGACCTGTACATGTCATACTTGACATCGGTTCTGCGGGTTTTGGAGGGTTCGTACTCCTCAGGTGGCATATAGATGACTGTGCCTCCCATTTCAGCAGGTTTGGAGCCAGAGCCTTTGGTGATCGAGAGCTGACGCCATTTAGACAAGCCAAAATCGGCAATCTGTTCACAAAAACAGACCAGATAAACTTTAGATAAAGAAGATACAACAAAGTATGCAAATCTTAAAAAACAAAAATATACAGTTGAAGTCTTTTTTCGCCCCCCTGTTTATTTTTTTTCCACAATTTCAGTTTAACAGAGATAATATTTTTTTTCCAACACATTTCTAAAAATAACAGATTTAACTAATTTTAATAACAGATTTATTTGATCTTTGCCATGATAACTGTAAATAATATTTGACTAGATATTTTTCAAGACACTTCTATACAGCTTAAAGTGACATTTAAAGCCTTAACTAGAGTAATTAGGTTAACTAGGCAGGTTAGGGTAATTAGGCAAGTTATTGTATAACAATGGTTTATTTGTAAACTATCGAGAGAGAAAAATTAGCTTAAAGGGGCTAATCATTTTGTCCTTAAAATGGTGTTCAAAAAATAAAAAAACTGCTTTTCTTCTAGCTGAAATAAATCAAATAAGACTTTCTCCAGAAGAACAAAATATTATCAGACATACTGTGAAAATATACTTGTTCTGATAAACATAATTTGGGAAATAAAAAAATGTAAAAAAAAAAAAAAAAAAAAAGGAGGGGGGAGGGGGGTTGGGTGTAATAATTCTGACATCAACTGTATGTTTAAAATGTACGCTGATTAATGGTAGAGTTGTATTAGCTATAAGGTTTTCGTTTGCAGGTTTAAAAACCATTTTTAAAAACAATTGTGTCTTTTTAACATTGTTATGTTACTAAAAATACTTTTCGAAATTACAACTACAGTGAAAGGAGATCTGAGTGTTAAAAGGCTGGAAATCTGAAAGGTTTTTAGTAAATAAGGAACCAATGTTGGGTAAAGTTACTTTTAATAGATAAATAATTGATAATATTATATAATATATAATATATATAATAGTAATAGATTTTGCGTTGGTCTGGCCTTGCCTGCTGATGTTTGTAATAATATATTTGTAAAAACTATCAATAATTTTAAAAGATTTAAAGCCCTTTCACACCAAAATTCTAATTTGAAGCGAAAAGCTCAGGATGAGAGAAATATTGACTGATTTTTAATATGGTATATGCAGAGCTATTGCTTCTTTCCTTACTGATAAACTTCCAAGAAATGGTTAATGTGACTTTTTTCCATTCTATACGGTTCCTTTTACAGCATCGATGTTGTATTGTAATTAAAATACAATCAGTTAAATAGACTTTGACATTCATTTAGTTGTTCAAGCATAAAACGAGACGAAAAGCCTTTTACTCGCATGTGGCTGTCAGTATTAGCAGACTAGCGCAGAAGCTCCATTGTATATACCGAGGTAAAACAAATGTTCATATTTTAAAGACATAATGGAATTTACCTCAGGGCTTCTTGTACATTCTTTTTTTTATAACTTTAATTTTTATTGATTTTTTAGTAGGTCATAATTGATTACAATCAAATGCAATTTTACAAATAGTAGAAAAGGCTAATTTGAGTCAGATATGACAAGCCATTTCAATAACAAGCAAATAACTAGAACAAAAAAAAAAAAAAACAACAACAACAAAACAATAATAGATAAATAAATAAAATAAGATAGAAACAGAGCCTGTGTTGAGAATACTGTAGAAAAATAAATAATTAAATAAAAAAAATAAAAAAAACATGGTTTATACAAAAAGGAAGGCAATTGGGTACATAAGAATAGGCACAGTTGACTTATATGTCTGAAACTTAAGCGAGTACAGTCTGAGAGCCAGTCCCTAATGATTTGTCAATGTAAATTATCCATTTTTGCCATCTTTTGGCATACAAGTCCACCTTCAAACGTAACACACCAGTCATATGTTCCAATGTCCTTATTTCCTGAATTACATCAAGCCATTGTTGTTGTTTAGGTGAATCAGGCTTATACCAGCTTCTGGTTATGGTTTTCCTGGCTGCTGTAAGGAGTATTTTTACCAGGTATCGATCCTCCTGAAGTGTAACCAGTGAAATATGACCCAAGTACAGGACAATGCATGTAAATGGAATCTCATACCCAAGCACCTTTGTTAAGGTTAAGTGCACATCATTCCAAAATGGCTTCAGTTTTTCGCATCCCCAAAAAATGTGTGTATGGTGTGCTTCTAAGCAGCCACATTCTCTCCAACATTGCTGGGGTGTAGAAGAAGCTTTACTGCTGATTTTAGGTGTTATAAAGAATCGTACCAAATTCTTCCAATTGAATACCCTCAGTTGTTGTGAGCTTGTGGAGGAATGTTGAATTTCGCACATATCTAACCATACCTCTGGTAGAATTTCTACATTCAATTCTTTTTCCCACCTTGATTTAAGGTATAATGTTGAGTTGGTTTTACTTTCCATAATACTTACGTAAAAACTAGAGATTATTTTTGCACATTTACTATCTGATTTGTAAGCATTCATCATAATCTTTACAACTGGACTAATTTCGTGTGACGTTTCCATTTTTATTTCTCTGTAAAAATAATCTCTGAATTGTATAAACCTAAATAAGTCCCGATTAGTAAGAGAAAGTTTTTCTTTGAGTGTTTGGAAAGTCTGTAATTCCTTGTTTTCCAATACTGTACATATTGCACTAATACCTTTTGTTGCCCATTGCTTAAATGTGGCGTCGCTTTCACCTGGTTTAAATTGAGTGTCAAAGGCTATCCATCGAAGAACTTTTTGGTCTTTGCTTAATTTAAATTGTCTAGCAAACTCAAACCAAAACTCCACTGCTCCAGAGGTTATTGAATCCAATTGACTTTTGACTACCGAAGGGATTTCTTTTTCTCCAAGAATTGACTGAATCTGATAACCCACCGTATATGTCTCAATTTCTTTCCATCTGGCAAAATAATTGTTGTTACACCAAAGAAAAAGTGGACGGAACTGAGCTGCGTAAAAATAATCTTTGAGATTCGGCAGGGCCATTCCTCCTTTTTGCTTGGACAACTGGAGTGTTGTGTATCTTATTCTAGGCTTCTTTCCATCCCAAATAAACCTGGAAATAAGTTTGTTCCAGATTGTAAACTGATGTTTAGGTATCTCTATTGGCAGGGCTTGAAATAGGTATAGTAATCTAGGTAATATGTTTGTTTTGATGACGTTTATCTTACTAGCAAAATCCAATGGGTAGGTAGACCACCGATCCATATCGCTTTTAATACTCTGGTTAATCACATTATAGTTTGCACCGTACAGACTACTCAGGTTTTTTGTAATAATCACCCCTAAATATTTTATTTCTTTCATGTCCCATTTTAAATTATATCTATGTCTGATTTCCTCAGAAGGTTTGTAATTAAATGACAAAAGTTGTGTCTTCGCAATATTTAGTTTGTACCCAGCAAAGAAGTTAAATTCGTCGAGGAACTCCATCAGTACAGGGAGGGAAGCCTCAGGATCTGTTAAATGTATCAAGACATCGTCTGCAAATAAACTAATTAAATGGTCTTTATGTCCTATTGTAATGCCTTGTATTTGTTCATGTTGACGAATTGCCTGGGCCAGGGGTTCAATATAAACAGCAAATAATGTGGGACTAAGGCAACAGCCCTGTCTAGTTCCTCTTTGTAAACTAAACGATGGAGATAATGACCCATTAATTTTTATTTTGGCTGTAGGTTGTTGGTAAAGAGATCTAATTATATTTACAAAATGTTTATTGAAGCCGAATCTAACCAAAGTTTGGTAAAGAAATTCCCAGTTGACCCGATCAAAGGCCTTTTCGGCATCCAGACTTAGTAATACTGCTGTCTTATTTTCCCTTTCTATTTTATCTATAAGATGCAGCGTCCTCCTAATATTATCATGTGTTTGACGGCTTTTTATGAATCCTGTCTGATCCTCGTCAATTAATTCAGGAAGGATAGTCTCTAATCTTTTGGCTATAATTGATGTATATATCTTATAATCTATATTAAGAATTGAAATGGGCCTATAATTGCAGCTAAATTCCCTGTCCTTACCCTCCTTTGGGAGTACTGAGATGATAGCCTCGTTCCATGAAGGTGGAAGTTTACATTCTGTTTTAATCCAGTTAAATGTTTTTAACAGAAGTGGGGCTAGTATTTCTTTAAAAGTTTTATACCACTCGGCTGGAAAGCCGTCGCTACCTGGTGTTTTAGATGTTTTTAGTCTCCCAATCGCATTATTTATCTCTTCTAGTGTGAAATCTGCTGTAATGAAATCATTTTGTATTTTGCCTATACTTGGTAAATCTAGTTCATTAAGAAAATTTCTTGTCGCTTCCATTTTAGAGTTAGAAGCATCCGTATACAGTTGTTTATAATAATTTAGAAAAATGTCCTCTATTTTCTGTGGATGATAAACCAAATTATTTGTTTGTGGGTCTCGTATTCTATGAATAGTGCTATCAACTTCTTGTTTACGTAAGCGTCGGGCAAGCAATTTTGCTGCTTTAGGGCCGGATTCGTAGTATGTCTGCTTATAGAATCGAGCTTTCTTCTCAACATCTTGTTCCAACAGGCTGTTAATCTGTTTCCTTATTTGCTGCATACGTGATAGTAGGTTTGGATCCCTGTTTATTTTGTGTTGTTGCTCCACATTTAATAAGTCTGATGTTAGGGTATTGTACTCCTTAATTCTCTTTTTTTTATTTTGCGCTGATAGTGCAATCAAATTCCCACGCATCACAGCCTTCAATGAGTCCCATACTATGGATGGGTCTACCTCTCCATTATCATTTATCCTAATATATTCTTTTATATTTAATTTTATCTGTTCTGTATTTGCTTTGTTATTTAACAAACCCACATTCAACCTCCAACCTGTCTTTCTCTTCCTTCCTTCTATTTGAACTGTCAGGTACAAAGCGCTGTGGTCAGAGACCTCAGCTACTCCAATGCTACAATCTTTCACCCTATAACAGTCATTTTTTGGCATAAAAAAATAATCAATCCTAGAGTATGTACGGTGGGGAGCTGAGTAATGAGTGTAGTTTTTGAGAGATGGATTAATATGTCGCCAGACATCGCAGTATCCTAT